CAGGTTGACTTCCAAGTGTTTTATACTGTCCATAGTAATTTTAAATAGAATTTCTCTTTCCATCTCATCCTACTGGATTTTGTGGGCTAACATAAAGAAATATGGGATATTTGTGTGGATTTCTTTTATATCCTTCAACTTTGCTGAAGTTATTGTTTTCAATAGTTTTTTACTTGACTCTTTAGGGTTCTCTAGGTAAACTCTCACATCACGTGCAAGTAGTAATAATTTTCATTTCCTCATTGCCTATGCATTTTCCTTTAGTTTTTTTTATCTTATTACTATAATTAGCACTTCTAGTACAATATTGAATAGTAATGGTGATAGTGGACATCCTTGCTTCACTCCTGATCTTTTTGGAAGGGGTTCTAGCATATTCCCATTATAGATAATGCTTGCTCTTGCCTTTAGATATATACCACATCATTTTAAGGAAAGCTCCATTCATTCCTATGTTTTTTAGTGTTTTTGGTTTTTTTGTTAAACAGGAATGGGGGTTGTACTTTGCCAAACTTTTTCATCATCTATTAAAATAATATTTTTTTGTGTTTTGTTGATTTTGTAATTAATAGGATCAATTATGTTTATAGTTTTCCCAGTATTGATCCAGCTCTATGTTATTGGTATAAATCTAGCCTGGTCATAGTGTATGATTTTTGTGACATGTAGCAATGCTATACTCTCCTTGCTAATATTTAAAATTTTTGCATCAGTATTTAATAGGGAATTTGATCTATTTGGTCTATTGTTTTCTTAGTTTTAACTTTCGCTGGTTAGGTATCAAGACCATATTTGTGTCATTTTGTAAGATCCTTTTTAAAAACGGTTTATGTAGTATTGGAATTGTTTTTAAAATGTTTTGTAGAAATCACTTGTAAATCCATCTGATCCTGGGGTTTTTTACTTATGGAGTTCATTATGGCATGTTCAATTTCTTTTTCTAAGGAAGGGTCATTTAAATATTCTATCTCTGTTTCTTTTAATCTGGGCAATTTATATTTTTGTAAATATTCATCCATTTCTTTTAGATTATCAGTTTTATATGGATATAGTTGAGTAGAGTAGCTCCTAATAATTGTTTTTATTTTTTCTTCATTGGTTGTGTATTCAATTTTTTTCATTTTTTATACCAATAATTCAGCTGTCTTCATTCTTTCTTTTTAAAAGCAAATTAGCTAATGGCTTATTTTTCCCAAAAAATTAATTGCTACTATTACTTATTCAATTGGGTTTTTTTTTTCACTTTTTTCAATCTCTTGATTTTCAGGATTTCAATTCTGATATTTAATGGGGGGGGTTGGTGGTTTTCTAGTTTTTTCAGTTTCACATTCCTTATTGATCTATTCTTTCTCTTTGGATAAGAGTTTAGAGAGATACATTTTCCCCTAAATGCTGTTTTGGCTGCATCTTACAAATTTTGATGTGTTGTCCTGTTATTATCTTTAATAGAATTAGTGATTATTCCAATAATTTGTTCTTTTGCCAATCCATTTTCTAGTATTTAGTTTCTAACCAATTTTTAATATTTTCTTCAAAGGTCTTTTTTTATTATACTTTTTGTTGTATTGTGGCAGAAAAAGATGCATTCAGCATTTGTTTTTCTGAATTTGTAAGGTTTTTCAGCTCTAATACATAGTTAATTTTTGTGAAGGTGCCATGCACAGATGAGAAATGGATGCACTCTTTTCTGTTGCCTTTATTCCCCAAAGTTCTATTACATCTCTTTTCTAAAATTCTATTCGTCTATCTAATTTCTTTCTCATTTATTTTATGGTCATATTTATCATGACCTGAGGATAAATTGAGTTCCCTATTATAGTTGTATTGTCAATTTCTTCTTGAAACTTAATTTTTCCTTTAAGAATTTAGGTGCTATGCTGTTTGGAGCATATATGTTCAATACTGATATTAATTCACTGCTTGGGGTACCTCTTAGCAAAATGTAGTTTCCCTGTATCTGTTTTAATTAAATCTATATTTGCTTTTATTTTATCTGAGATCATGAAAGCTATCTCTGCCTTTTTCGCTTCAGCTGAAACATAACAGAGATGGTGCTCCAGTTCCTTATTTTAATTCTCTGTGTACCTTTCTTTTTCAAGTGTGTTTCTTGTAAACAACATATTGCTGGATTCTAGTTTCTAATCCAGTCTCATTTCTTCTTCCATTTTATTGGTGAGTTCATCTCATTCATGTTTACAGTGAAGACTGCTAACTGTATTATTTCTGTCCATCCTATTCTCATACTTTTCTCCTTGTCCCCTCATAAGAGTTTGGTTTGCTTCTGATTAATGCCTCCCTTAATCTGCTGTTAAGTCGTTTTTCAATCATGCCCAACTCTCCGTGACCCATTTGGGCTACTCTTGGCAGAGATACTGGAGTGCTTTGCCATTTCTTTCTCCAGCTCATTTTACAGATGAGGAACAAAGGCAAACAGGGTGAAGTGACATGCCTAGGGTCACCCCAGTAATAAGCATCTGAAGCCAGATGTGAACTTAGGATGAATCTTCCTGATTTCAAGGCCAGAAGAGCACTATACACTGTACCAACTAGCTACCAACCCTTCCTCTTATCTCTCTGTTCTTTTTTCCTTAACCCCTTTCCTTCCCACTTCCCAGTTAGGTTAAAATGGATTCTATACTCATTTGTGTATTATTATTCCCTGCTTGAACCAGTTCCAGTGACAGTGAAATTCAAGTGTAGCCTGCTCTCCCCAAATGTCTCCTCCATTGTTTAAATACTTCCTTGAACAAATTTTCCCCATTCTTTCTCTTCATTGTCCCCTTAGAAGGCAGAGCAGTTCTTGGAGGGCAGTTTTGATTTTTGTTTTCATTAAGATGTCTAGTGTGGCAGGTGGTGACTTCCTGCCTCACTCACCTGTATAGAAAAGACTTTGGATGGAGCTCTGAAGAAACAGAAACACTGATATATTTGAACAGCTGTCCTACTATTACTCTCCCTCCCTTGAAATTCATGACAGAATGGAGAGGGTTTTAGAGGAGATAGTGTGGTATTCTGAAAGGCACAGTGACCTGGGAATCAGGAAACCTGTTCTGGTTTCTGGTCCTTGGCTCTGCCTCTATGACCCTGGGCAAGTCCTTCTCCTCCCTGGGCCTCATTTCCCTTTTCTGGCAACTGAAGAGGTTGGACTAAACTTCTGAGGCTAATTTCTTCTGTCTCTGGCAGTCTATGATTTTTATAACCTCTAGACTGTTTCAAAGGGATCCAGAGGTCTCTATGGTCAGCATCATGACCTTCCTGCAGTCACAGGATGTAGAATTAGACTGAGCCCAACCCCTTCTCATTTTGCAGATGAGGAAGCTCCAGGTCATACACAAAACAAGTGGCTTTTCTTGTTCACCCCTAGCTCTTTGCCCAGTCTGGGACAGAGTAAGCCCTTACTACATTGTCTCTTGGCTGGCTGACTGATCCTTGGAGTCCTCTGATTCTAAAATCTGGTGTTCTACCCACTATGCTATGCTGTCAGCAACCAATCATATCAGCATCTTTAGGCTATAGATGCAACCCACACTGGGCACTTTTTATCCAAAATCCCCAATGAGTTTCATGGGATTGATAACTGTCTAGCCCCCCTGACTCCCTGTGATGCTTTCCCTGCCCACCTTTCTCCTTGTCTAAGCTGTAAGGAATGTGTGTGGGCCTCTGTCACCTGAGGCAAGTTCTCCATCTCTGCCTAAGAGGCCGATCTTGCTGGTCTCTCGTGCAGTTGTCTCATACAATTCAGTCTATTTACAGCAGGAGAACGTTGCCAGAAGAGCATTTGCCGGCTCAGACTGGAGCTCTCAGCATCCCCCTTGGAGATGGTGTTTGCTCAGGCCACTCTTCTGAGAAACAAGCAGTTTAGTCCTGAATCAGCGTGGCTACTTTGGTCAGTTGGGCAAATAAAAAACGAGGAGGGAAGTGCCCATAGTTCTTGCCCCCATGTCCAGCTGCCCCTTTGCAAGCTTCTGATGATCTGGCAGGTTCAAGGCTTTGCAGCTTTTCTTCCAAGAAGTATGGACCAGAGAACCTGAATCAGGGTGGATGTGTGGACTTTCCCTCCCATTGCTGCAGTAGGCCTTCTTGCTAGCTTGTGTGCTAATAAGCTTCTTAGGCACAAGTTCAACCCCAGGAGTGCCCCTGACCCTAGTGACCTCCAAGGCCCTGCTGTTGGGCACTGAAGGCAGGGGCCAGGGGCTGAAAGGCTTTCAGGTGCCATAGCTGCTTTGCCAGCCCTTTTCTCTTTCCCTCTCTGAGAGAAAGGAGATCCTGACGATGACAGCTTCTTCCTGAATTCCCACAGAAAAGCTCTTACCATTTTTTCAAGGGAAACGTGTGCCTGCTTTGATCCAAAAATACTTTGGAAATATGTCCAAGGTGATACACACATCACTTATTCTGTGCAGGAGCCTGCCTTTCTGTTGATACTACTGGCGTGGTCTTCACCAGCTCCTTCTGACATTATTGTCCCTAGTACCAAGCCAGAGAGGATTTTTCCCATTTCTAAGCCAGAGCAGCTAAGCTGTAGAAAATCTAAGTGAGTTGCCCTAAATTGCGAAGGAGACTAGTTATTGGTTGAGACACCAAGGTCATCCGTTGCATCCCCAGCCATCATTAATTGTCTTGACGCTGGCCTGCCACTGGACTGTAATGACTCTGGAAGAGAGAGTGAGGCTGACCACTTTGTGCAACTCTGTCTCACTTAAATTCAATTAATGAATGAATCAAAAGATAAAATAAAAAAAAGTTTAGCATTAGAGTGTAAGGGTATCTAAAAATTAATACCCTAGCTGTTAAGATATTTTTGGCACAAGGAATACTTGAAAGCAGAAATAGTACTTGTTAGACCATTTTATCCAAACTTTTAGGAAATTCTTTTGCTCAGAACATTACTGAAAAGATGAAATTGTTGTAAAAAAAAAGAAAAACTAAAGTTTGGATTTCATTCAGTATCAGAAATTGATTCCATGGAATAATGGAAGATTGTCGTTTTACTCTTCCAGGAGCCATGTTTGATCCCACTGGTCTATGATATAAGAGTGAAGTGGACTAAGTATGGTTCCTTAATGAATCCACAAGCCAAAATAGTCAATGTTGCAGTGCAAATGATTTCATCCGCATTTTCCAAGGTATGACTAATCTTTGTTTAAAGGTGGTTGCATGACACGTTTCAAAACACAAACATTATACATATTTGCCGAGATTGGAAAATGTTTCATGTGTATTTATTCCTCCTTGAGCATTCAAAAACAGTTTAGTTTATAATTTTTTAACCTTTTTTTGGGGGGGGAACAGTATTCATTAGTAACAGATTTTGTTCACAGTAAAACCTTTAAAAGACTTTAAAAGTAGATTTTTGTTTTTAATTTTTTTGAAAATTCATCTAGCAATGGAAATAGACCTAATGTTTTAGTCATTGAAACTTTCAGAAAAAATACTACCTTTCATCCTGTGTCTCAAAATGCTTTATTGGCTCATTTTATCTATATTTACCCATCAGTGGTTTTATTTTAATAATTTTACTAAGGAAATAAAAATTGTATTTCTCATCCAGATTCACATTGTGAGTCAATCAAGTTGGGGATGGGGGGTGAGGGGTAAGAGTACAGTCAAGAATAGAATGAAGTTTCCCGGTCTCTGCTAAACCCTGGCAACTAACACACAGGCTATTCAGGACTTGTGTACCTCTTCCTTTTTCCTCACAGACTGAGTTAGAACATGGAAGGACAGCACAGGTTTCTACTGTGGTTAGTTTCATTGATGTGTCTGCACCAGCAGAAGCCGGTTACAAGGCTCAGCCCACCATTGATGCCAAGCTGCCCTCCAATTTCTTCTTTCCATTTGTGTGACGTAAGTAGTTACTAAATTCAGGAAATCCTGGTGCTGCTGTCAAGGATTGTTAGCCCTGAGAATTGTGACTGTTGGGTTGATGATTCCCCATAACTCTGAGAGCCATGCCATTCCTCCATGCCTTTCTGCCTTTGACTTCTCCTAGAACATTCCTTACCTGAGATTTCTCTTGTTGCCTCTCCCTGGGCTTTTCTTGATTTTGGCAAAGGAGGAGGGCCAAGAAGCTCATGGGATTTCCAGTCCTTCAGGGGACCAGAGCTGTGCCTGCTCATCTGATGCAGTTCCTGTCTGTGTCTTTTCACAAATCCTACCAAGAGGAACTGCTCAACATGGTGTAGGATAGAGAGCTGGAAGACAGAGAGTCAGGAAGACCCAGATTCAAATGCTGGTCTCTGACCCATCCTGGCTGCATGGCCATGGTCCTGTCACTTCTCCTCTCAGGATCCCTAGACAGCAAGTGAGCGTTGATTGGCATCAAATGAGGCAGTTTCTTCATTTGAGTTCCTACAGTGGTGAAATCAGGTTTGGCTAAAACCCTCCAAATATTCCTTGAACACCAATGCAGCATTCAGGGAGGGAGACTTAGCTCTGCCTTGCCCAGACTACATTTGAAGGCTTGTCTTCAGTTTGGGGTACTCACTTTTAGGAAGGATGTTGACAAGCCAGTACATGAATATCTCATTGAGGCTGGTCAAGACATTGCAGGCCAGGGTGGGGTGGAGTGAGGTCTGGAAACCATTTTTTTGCTGTTGTTCAGTCATTTCAGTCGTGTCTGACTGTACCTGGCCCCATTTGGGGTTTTCTTGGCAGAGATACGGAAGTGTTTGCCCATTTCCTTCTCTAGCTCATTTTACAGATGAGGAAACAGAGGCAAAGAGGGTGAAGTGACTTGCTCAGAGTATCTGAGGCCAGATTTAAACTGATGAAAATGAATATTTCTGCCTCCAATCCCAGTGCTCTATCCACTATGCCTGAAAACCATGCCATACAACAATTGGTTGAAGGAAGTAGGGACATTGAGGCTGGAAAAAAGAAGACTTAGAGAGGTTGGAGGGGGAGGCACAGAAGGATAGCTGTCTTTAAATATCAGAGCGATTGTTTTGTAGAAGAGGGATGCAATTTATTCTGGCTCCAGAAGGCAAAGCTAGGAATGATGGGTGGAAGGTATAGAGGCAGTTTTGGCTCAGTATAAAGTTACTTAACAGTCAGGTGTCCACAAATGCAATGTCTCAGAATGTAGTTAGTTCCCCCCCTCAGTGGAGGGCTTTAAGCAAAGCCTGTATGACCAGCTGTCAAAGATGTTTCACAGCTAGGTGCTGGGCCAGGTGACCTCAGAGCTCCTATCTCCCTGGTTTTACTTCAGAATGAGGCAATAGTCAGGTCAGGGTCCTGCCCAGCCCTGCAACATTTAGCCTTCATATTCAAACAAAGCAAAAGGGGAAGAAAATTGACTCAGGATTGTGGGAAGGAATATATTTAGGACAACCTTTTTGTAGGTTTGTCTTAAATAGAGGCAGCTGGTGGTGCCTTGAATAACATGCTGGGCCAGGGCTCATGAGGACTTGAGTTCAGAAGTCTGGCCTAAAATACTTAATAGTTGTGTGACCCTGGGCAAGTCATTTAACCTCTGTTTGCCTCAGTTTCTTCAGCAATAAAATAAAGATAATAATAGTACCTTCCTCCCAGGGTAATAAATGAGGTACTATTTTAAAATTGCTTAGCAGAATGCCATATAAATGCTACTTCTCTTTATTCTTTAAATCCAACCCCTTAATTCACCCTCTGTATTACTTTAGAAGCAATAGCTGTTCAATTCAGGCTGTCCTTTTTCCTTCCATATGCAAACAAGTGCAAAAATAGTACAATATCATACAAAAATGTTAGAAGTATAATAAAAAGGCTAAAGAAAGCTCCTTGCTCGAATATCCCATTAATTGCAGTCTATTCTTCGATCTAATTGCTATGTGCCATCCCAAGCCCAGCCCAGGAACACTCCTGGGATGCTACAGAATGGAGGTGGATTATTAGAGTTCATCACTATTGTGGCAAGAGAATCTAGGGGGAGGGCTCAGGCATACATTAATTGCGTGGTAGTTTCCAAAAATGTCAGACAGAGGCATAAATAAATACAATGAGATTCAGACTGCATTTTGCAGCTGGTTGCTACAGAGGGTTCTTGAGCAACATCCATGGAAAGACGCAAACTTCAGGAGGTCAATGGCAAGTAACAGGACACATAGTCTTTCTGATTAGCTCATGAATAAAATGACCTTCCTGTAGTCACCTGGACTGTAAGATAATTTTTTTTTATTACTTTTGTCTTTCAGAATGTCCACAACTAGGGAATCCAGTGCTGAAATATATGTGAAACTATTTGGAAAGCATACATTTGGCAAAATTAAATTTTATACAAACCCATTCAGCTCTAGCATTCATTTTCAAACAAGTTTAGAGTTTGGAATATAAGAAAAGGGAGTTTATGAAGCATTTGTTACCAAGGCAACTCTCTTCACATCAAGATAAAAAGACAGCTCTTAGGAGGAACTATGTAACATCTGGACATAATCAGACCTGAGAACAAGTAAAATGAAGGCTTCAGATCATTTCCAGAGATAACCCTGGAGACACCCAGGGTGTTTCGCAGACATGTACACAAGGCCAGTCCATCCAACAAGATGTTTCCTCTCCATGTGGTTAGGCAAATGTTGCGTGGTTCAGCTACTGGAGAAGTCCATGATCTCTCAGTAGTTTGTTAAGTCTTTCAATTTCTTGTTCCTGTTTCAAAGACAGAGATCGACTTTACATTGTGAACATCTCTGAGGCTCATAAGTCTAGTTACTGTTGAGACCATTAGTCATCTATCTTACTTGAGGCTCTCATTTGTCTTACCTTCTTAGTGCAACTAAATTCAAGATCCTGGATTTTCATGGCCAGTTCATAATTAATCATTTTCAGCCTTGAAAGTTGTCGTTCAGAACGTGTCTTGACTGAAATAATTATGCCTAAAAATAATTCAGAGGGCTAGATTGTGACTTTGGGCATTAACATAATGAGTCCATTATACTTGATTTCTGATTTGCAAAGTACTTTCCATACATCATCTTGTCAGCCCTGTGAGATAGGGCATTTAAAAAATGAACCACCAATTCTGAGAATTTAAGACACGTGCCCTTTGTGAGCCAGGGCCCAACTCATGGAGCTGAGACATAAACTCAGGGGATGTGATACTCCTGCAACCTCAACACAATTCCACCATCCACACATGCTCACAGATGTGTACTGTAGGCTAACACACAATGTATTTGTATGGGAGTTTCATTTTCTCCGGTCATTAATCATTAATTAAAGGCATGGAAACTCAGAGAGTCTGGTTTGAGCTTTTGAGCTGACCAGAGGAAACTTCTGCAAGAATATGTTTAGTGTCCAGTTTGAATTCATCCCCTGTTTCTTGTAGAGTATGAGAGGTTGTGAAATTATATCATTGATGGATCAGGCAAGCAAGGCCTAAAAGCACATGAACACAGTAGCCCAATGTTTCATCAACCCAAGAATATAAACCACTGGGGGAAAGGACTCCCTATTCCCAACAACTGCTAGGAAATCTGGAGAGCTGGTTGGCAGAAAATAAATTTAATTAAATGGCTTACATTGTGTGCCTCAGTAAACTCCAAGTGAGTAAGGGACAAACATAAAAACAGAGATCGTAACAAAAGTAGAGAACAGAACAGGGTAGGTAGATCTCACAATTCTGGTTATTGGGAAATTTCACGACCTAACCGGGTAGTAGAGCAGGTCACCAAAGACAAGGTAGACAATTTTGACTGCATACAATTTTAGAAGCTGTTATACAAATGATATCAGTGCAATTTTGGGTAAGAAAAGATGCCAGTCAGTGGGGAAGATCTTTGCATTGAACATCTCTAATGAAAGGCTATATCCAAGATGTATACAGAATCAATGCAAACATATGACTCAACATATTTCACAGGAGATGGTGGTCAAAGTATATGACCAAGAAGTTTTCAAAAGACTATAAGTGAGCTAACAACGACCATGTGGAAAAAATGTGCCAAACCATTAATGAAAGAAATGTCAGTTGAAACAACTGAGGTGTCATCTCATGCATCAAACTGACAAAGAGGAGATAAAAGACTGAGATGGCTGTTGGAAGAGCTGTGGGAAGACAGGCACAAACAACATATTATTAGTGGCACTGAATTGGCCCCATTCTTCTGGAAAACAACTTAGAAGAATGCAAAGTTAGAAATTTCATGCTTGACCCAACTCCAGGACAGATATTTTAAGGAGGTCAGAAAGAAAGGTCACCCAACAACAACAAAAGCAGCTAGGTGGTGTAGTGGGAAATGTGCAGGACTTGGAGTCAGAAGAGACCTGAGGTCAAATCCTGCCTCATCCACTTCCTAGCTGAGTGACCTTGGGGCTAGCTACCAAATCTCAGCCTAAAAAAACAACAACAACAAAAACACTACATTCTTTGTTTCAAGTTGCAAAAAGGCAATGGGGGAAGCCATATACCTGTGCTGCCTGAGTATACTACAGGTTGGTGTTTAATTTCAGCTGGGGCCTCAGTACTGCATTGACCAATTCTACTTTTCACAATTGACCCCTGTTATATTCCCCATAGCAGCTGTTCCTCAAGCCCCTGATGCTGACTCTTTCCCTCAGCAGACCTTGTCTCATGCTTCACTGAAATACCTGAGGGCTGCCATGAGCTGCTTTTCTTCCCTGATTCCACGGTTTATGTCACCTCAACATCATTCCCTCATCCCTTCCTTTGCTCCAGTGTCAGAGGAGGTGATCCTTGCCATACCAGCGCCTCTACTTGTGCCCCTGACTACATCCCCTCCTGTCACCAGGAACTTGCTCCTTCTATCATTTCCTCTTCTTTTTTTTTCTTTTTTTTGGGGGGGGGGGTAGGCAATGGGGTTAAGTGACTTGCCCAGCGTCACATAGCTAGTTAAGCGTTATGTGTCTGAGGCTGGATTTGAACTCAGGTCCTCCTGAATCCAGGGTCGGTGCTCTATCTACTGGGCCATCTAGCTGCCCCTCGTCTCCTTAATTTTCAATCTAAGCAAGCTCCTTCCTGGCTGTCTGTAAACATGCCCACATCTCCCTGTCACAAAAAATCCTCACATGACCCCACCGTCCCCTGAAACTGTCATCCTATATGTCTCCTTCATTTCATGGCCAAACTCCTAGAAAAATCTTTCTATATGGAAGACTTCTATTTTTTCACCTCCATTTCACACTCTTGTAGTTTGACTTCTGTCCTCACCATTCACCTAAAAGTTTTCTATGCAAAGTAATCAGTTATCAGTTATATGCTAAACTTAACAATCTTTTCTTGGTCTTTATCCTTCTTAACTTCTCAAAGTCAAATATCAAGAATTTAAAACGCTTTTAAATTAAATTTCTTTTTTTTCCCAATGAACAAAAATCTGTTTTCTGCCCTTCCCACTTCCCCCTGCCCATTGGGGAAAAAAGAAAAAGAAAAGAAAAGCCCTCAACAAATAAGCATAGTCAGCTAAAAACAAATTTCTACACTGGCCAAAGTACAAAAAATATGTCTCAATCTGCACCCTGAATCCATCACCTCTGTGTAAGAGGATGGGCAGCAGACTTCAACCTGGGTCCTCTGGAATTGTGCACATTATGCAATGACCAACTATATGTGATTAACCAAATATAGCTAGTCTTGCATTGAACGGAATTCTTAAGTCTTTCAAAGTTTTGTCTTTATAATATTCTTGTAATAGAAACAGTTCTCCTAGTTCTTCTCACTTCATAGTTTCATACAAGTCTTCCCAAATTTCTCTAAAACCATGCCCTCCCATCATTTCTTACAGCACAATATATTCCATTATATTAATGTACCTTAATTCATTCAGCCATTTCCCAATTTCTGGGCATCCCTGGTCCCCCCCCCACTTAGTTTCCTGTTCTTTACCTCCACAGGAAAAAAAGTGTTATAAATAATTTTGTACACATAAAACATTTTCATCTTTGATCTTCTTAGGGGTTTGCACTATGTCCATGGTGTGTACAATTAAATATTTGCGTGGGAGGACTACTGTATCAAATTGCTTTCTAGAATGGCTGGATCAGTTCACAATTCCACTAATGATACATTAATGTACCTTTTCCCTTATCTCCACCAGCTTTTGTCATTCTCCTTTTTTGGTGAAATCTGCCAATCTGGTAGATGTAAGGTGGAACCTCAGCAATGCTTTAATTTTTCATTTCTAACTTTTAGTGATTTGGAGCATTTTTTTCCTCAGATGTAAACTGATAGCTTGGATTTATTCCTTAGAAAATGCCTATTTATGTCCTTTGACCATTTACTATTTGGCTGAGGGCCAAAGATTTTCTGACATTCTTGGCCACTCCTTCCTCCTGGAAAATCTTTTTCCACTTGGTTTTTGTGACAGATCTGTCATTTTCATCCTACTTCTCTGGCTAATTCTCAGTTTCCTTTGCAGGATCACCAACTATGTCTAACCCATGTCACATGGGTATATTTAGGGGCTCAACCTTGGACTCTGTCCTCTTTTTCACAGTATTTCTTTTGGTAATCTCATTAGCTCCCATGGATGCAGCTGTTATCTCTATGAAGATGACTCCCAAATCTACATATTCAGCTCTCCTCTCAGCCCCATTTTCTCATCATCTGATAGATGTCCATCTTACAGTAGAGAGAGTGTTGGGTTTGGAATGAAGATTTGAGTTCAAAACTTGCCCCACACACTTACTAGCTATGTAATCCTACTATTTAAGCACAATACCTAGCACCATGCTTAATAATTGTACATTGACATGACTTGGTGACAAGACAAACAAGTCATTGCACCTCTGTCAGCCTGTATGAAACAAGGAACTTGGACCACTATAGTGGCCTCTAAAGTCACTTCCAGCTCTTAATCTATGATATTACAGTCTTTACTTGGATATCTCGTAGGCATCGCAATGTCAAAATGGCCAAAAGAGAACTCATTATCTTTTCCCCTAAGCCCACCCTTCCTCCTCGAGTCTGTCTGTGTCAGAGGCACCAGAAACACTTTTGCCCATCCCCCACATCCCATCAGTTTCCATGTTGATGCTATTTCTTCTGCATCTCTTCTATCTATGCATCTATCCCTGCACAAATAACGATGCTCATCCAGGCCTTCATCACCTCTTGTCTGGACTACAGCAATAGCTTCCTAGTTGGCCTCTCTCTATCCATTCTCTCCTGTCTGCAACCCAACCCACCAGCTGCCAAACTGATCTTCTCAAAATGCAGGACCGACCATACCACTCCTCTTTCAAGAGCCTGCTTTACCTCTCAGAGGTTTCCAGTTGCCTCCAAGACTAGACACAAACTCCTCTGGTGTTTAAAGTCCTTTGCACTTTGGCTCTTCCTCTCCCAGAGACTCTTGGACTCCAGCCAAACAGGACTACATACTTTTCCCAGGCCATGGCCTTCTGTCTCCCACTTCCTTCACTCACAGAAGTTGTCACTCATGCCTAGAATGCTCTCTCTCCTCATCATTGCCTCAGGAAACTCACAACTCCCTTCAAGTCTCAGTGGAAGTGCCACCTCCTCGAAGACGTCCTTCCTGATTCCCCCACTTGTTAGTGTACCCCCAAATCATTTCATATTTACTTTTTATATCTTCTATAATATCTATGAACAGGGTTGTCCACCCAGCCACAGAGTACACACAACAAATGTTTGTTGATCGACTACTACATATACCAAAACACTTATAGAAGTGCTTTTTGAACTTGCAACAACCTAAAAACAAAGTGGGTATGCCATAAATTGGGGGATAAATGGCTGGGCAAAGTGTGATTTCTGAATGTAACAGAATATTATGAAAAAAGGATGAATATAAGAAATTCAGAGAAACTCAGGAAGATGTATGGAAGGACACGGAGTGAAGACAGCAGAAGAGACACATAGCAACTATTATGACATAAATGGAAACAACTCTAAAAAGGCATCTAAATTCAGATTAAATGCAGTGACCAGTCTTGGTTTCAAAGGACAGATAACTAGGTGTAAAACTGTTCATACTTGAAATAAAAATAAAGTGATAAAGCCTCATTACAAGGTTCTCAACTAAAAGCAAACACATTAGCAGTCATTTACATATTAAGAACTCTGTAGTGGAAAACATAGCTTATTTCAAGTTGAAAATGGAAAGGATGATAAAAATAGAATCCAAAGAGCTTTAAGCTGAAAAGGAAGAGGGAGGGAGAAAACAATTACAATTCCACCCAGCTAGCTACCTCGTAAAGCAGCTGAAATGGCAGGAAGAGGAGTCATAGAAAAGACCAGAAATGAATAGGAAATGAAAATTCAAGAAAGGCCCATCTAGACACAGATGTACAGTTTGGGTAACAAACAAGGGGAACTACAGGTGAACTGAAAGAGGCACATTTGCCCTCCTAGGCCATGGAGTATCACTGACCCAATGACAAGAATAGGGTTCTGAAAGGGTGTACTTTATTTAAAAAGAACAAGATATGCCTTATTCAAAGGACATTATCTTATTCAAAAGGTAAAGGAAACAGGGTTCAGATTGCCACCCTATATTAAGAATATACACATTCATGAGGAAATCTAGGAATCTGAGGGGAAAAGCATGGCAAAAAGCTTTCAGGTGAAAGTCAATGGACAAAGCAACAATTAATTTTGTCTTCAGCCTATACTATAGACCACCTGGGCAGAAAGAGGAAATAGAGGAGTAGTTTGGGAAACATCACAAGCCTGGCAAGGAGGCATGGCATAGTAATGATGGGAGACTTTAATATCCAGACATCTGCTGGGCTGTTCCCTCTGTCCAAAGAATAGTAATTAATTTCTTTTTTTTGCATTAGTGATCATTTCATTTTTTAAAAGGCAAGAGAACCAGTGAGGAGAATTTCTGTTTTGGATGATTTTCACCAACAAAACAAGTAGTTAATAGTTAATAAACATTTATTAAGTGCCTACTGTATGCCAGGCATTGCGCTAAGTGCTGCAGATTCAAATACTAAAAAGAAAGACAGTGCCTTCCCTTAAGGAGCTTACAATCCAACACACAAAAGAAAGCTGAAAGTGTGGGTGGGAGGGGAGGTATCTGGCAGAGGGGCAAGATGGAGAAGTCAAAGGAGTCCAAAATAAGTGCAGCTGGAGAAGACAAGGAACTGACTGTTAGGGCAGAGATGATGAGGACCTTTGGAGGAAACACCCACTCCATGTTAGAGTTTGTGAAAGAGAAGAGAGGAGAGTCAGGAATGGTCTGACATGCACCCTAGATTTGGGGAGAGCAGGTTCCAAAGGGTTTAGAGAATAAGTAGGATCCCACCATTCTATAGGGAAGTCAGCCCGAGAGGAATAGGAAGCCATGAAGAATGAAATTCTAAAGAACTAAAAGAAAGCATCTCAATGAGGAGGAGAAAAAGTTGTTTGAATAGATTGATGGAATCATAGGGAGCTCACCAAATAATTTAGATTTTTAAAAGACATGGAAGATGGAAGGAAGGGCAAGGGAATAGGATGAATATAAGTAAGGGTGTTGCATTGGTCCTATAAGAATTGTCAGGAGTGCTAACATTCAGAATGAACTGATGATAGCAATGAAAGCAAAAAGCAAAACAGCATGGTTTTTTTTAAACTTTTTTGGGGAGAAGAGAATGAAAAATGGGATAGGACTGTTGCTTGAGGATGGATGGAACGGTGATAAGTGAGAACAGAAAGAAGGTGGTGCTTTACTTTTCTTCTGTTTTCTCTGCCAAGGAGTATAACCTTTGCACAGGTAAGGAGAAAGGGGAAAAATGGTAAACAAGACACTGACAGTAAAGGTAATTTGTTGCTGTTGTTGAGTCATTTCAGTTGTTTCTGACTCTCTGTTGAGCCCATTTGGGGTTTTCTTGGCAATGATACTAGAGTAGTTTGCCATTTCTTTATCCTGGTCATTTTACAGATGAGGAAAGTTAGGCAAATAGGATTAAGTGATTGGCCCAGGGTCACACAGCTAGTAAGCGTCGGAGGAAAACTTGAGTTCAATTGTGGCCTCAGACAGTTGCTGGCAATGTCACCCTGGGCGAGTGACTTAATTTCTCCCTGCCTCAGTTTCCTCATCTGTGAAATGGGAATAATAACAGCACTGAACTCACCTGGTTGTTGTGAGGATCAAATGACATAATATATGTAAAGGGCTTTGCAAATCTTAAGGTACAATATAAATGTGATTATTGTTGGTAGTGGTGTTGCTATACTAAAAGATCCAGAGGATAGTCTTCAGTATTTTGAAAAGATTAAATTCAAGTCAACAAGCATTAAGTATCTGCTATGTGCTAAATGTTGAAGACAGAAAAACAAAACCAAAAAATATTCCCTGCTCTCAAGGAACATATATTCCAGTTGAGGGGTGGAGGGTTCGATGTAGAGAAGATACAACATTTAAACAGATAAATAAACATGTTATAGTTTGAGGTCTATTTCTCTATATTTAGGTATCTTTCTTGTATCTATTTTATATGCAATTACATGTGTACATGTTATCTCTCCCAACAGAATGTAAGCTCCTTGAAGGCAGCCATTATTCCCCTTATAGCTTTGTATCCTCAGCACTTAGCATTGTTCCTTTCACATATGGTGCTTAGTAAGTATTGATTGATTGACTGATTGAGAAACGATTAACAATGAGGGCCAGTAGGGAAGGCTCTCTTGGGGAGGTGGCATTTGACTTGACCTTGAAGGAAGCTTTGAATTCCAAGAGAGGGAGGCCAGGAAGGAATATAGGACTGTCTTTGTAAAGGCACAGAAAGGTTGCATGAAATCTATAGGTCAGGGAAAAGCAAGTGGGCCAGTCCAGTGGAATAACATCAATAAGTATCACTCAGGATAAAAAGGCAAGAGAGGATTACAATCTGTACCAGGAGAGTGAGTGTTACATCAGTGAGGTCATGTGAATACCAAAGTACAAAGGCATTAGCCTTAGAATGAATCATTAGAATTCCTATCTTCTAAGTACAAGGGGAAGAACATATACAATACCAACATGGAACCACAGGAGAAGCCATGGTAGGACAACCGATCTTTCTACCTCATTTGAGTACTCAATTCTTTAGGAGCAGAAAAGACCATAATGGAAAAAATGTGGCAATTGTGAGTACATACCTTATCCCCACTCTCACCCTACCCAATACAATGTAATTTCATTGAGTGCTAAGAAAGACTAATACAGGGAGTTCTGAGAAATACTAGAAGATTTTAACAAACTGATGCATAGTGAAATGAACTGAACAACAGATAACAGTAATTAAAAGAGTATAATATAAAGAATGAAAAAGGAATTAAAGTTTGATTAATTGTAATTACCAATCTTGGTCCTGGAAAATAGATAATGAAATATATCTTCTCAGCATTGAGATGGGGAAATCTAGGGGCAGAACACTGCATACATTGTCAGAACTATATTGGTTATTTTTTATATAAGTGTTATAAGGGGGTAGTGGTTTCATTTCTGGCTTGTATATAGGTGAGGGTATTTCGCCATAAAAATAATGACAATGATGATAAAAATAATAATAGCTAGCATTTATATCCTGCTTTAAGGCCTTCAAAGCTTTTTTTTATAAATATACCTTTTTATCCTCACAACAACCCAGGCAGATAAATGCTATTATTATCCTCATTTGACAAATGATTAAGCTGAGGCAAGCAAAAGTTAAGTGACTTGCCCAAGGTCACACAGTTAATAAATGTTTGAGGTAGGATCTGAACTCAGGTTTTTCTAACTCCATATCTAACACTCCATTCACTGTGCTACCTAGCTGAAATTATTGTGTCGTAAGAATAAAAGGTATCAATAAATTGAATTTTTTTAAAAGAAAGATAAGTTTCTTGAAGACAGACATCTTTGTTGTTTGATCTTTGCGTTACGACAACCAAGAAAGGTGTAGGTACTTGGTAAATGTTTGTTAGATTGAAACCCAAAAATGCACAGTGCCCTGTAGACTTGGCACCCCCTTACCACCTCTGCCCAGTTTTCAAAGCAGCCTGTTCAGCCCACAATTCACGGAGGACATGCCACTACTGGAACTTACTGTTCATAATCCTGGCCACTCGCCAAAGTCGGAGAAGGATCAATAAGCCAAAGGCATCAAATTCATGCCCACAGAACAGAACGGCAATATCCAGGGCAAAAGAGACAATTACAACAACAACATCCAGGATCTCACACTTGTGGGAGAAGAATTCCTTGTGGAAGACGTATAATTTTACTACAATTTCTATCATGAAGAAGGTCAGGATGGCAATGCTCAGACAATGGAACACCTAGAAGAAAAGCCAGGAGCCAATAGTTAAATTATACCTACCTGAGGATCTCATCATCATCAATCACCATCATCAACATCATCATCATCACCATCATCATCATCACCATCAACATCATCAATCATCATCATCATCATCATCATCATCACTGGTCTCCCTCTGACTTCCTTCAAGTCCCAAGTAGAATCCTATCTTCTACAGGAAGCCTCTCCTAGTTTGAGTTCGAGTTCTGGCTTAGTTCTAGTGCCTTCCTTCTCTTAATTATTTTCTATTTATCCTGTATAATTTTTTGTGCACATTTGTTTGCTCATCATCTCCCCCATTAAACTGTAAGCTCCCTGATGGCAGGCACTGTCTTTTGCCTCTCTTTTTTTTAAGCCCTAGAGCTTAACACAGTGCTGAGCACACAGTACCACTTACTAAATGTTTATTGATTGAATAACTACCGTACAAGGCTGTGAAAATCAAACAAGATGACATATGAAGTGCTTGGTCAACCTTAAAGTGTCAAATAAATGCTATTATTATTAAAAAAAACAATTTAGCAGATGTACTTTGAGTTGCTGTGGTTGAAGAATTCATCATCTTGTGGTCAATCTGGTGATAAGCCTCTCTGAAATTAGCTAGACTGAGACACTTATTGTGAGGGAATGGTCAACCAAGTTTCTATACATAAATGTAAAAGGATGTTATTACTGTGCCTAAAGAAATGATGAGTAGGAAGAATTCAGAAATAGATGGGAAAACTTAGATGAACTAATGTGGAGTGAAGTGAGCAGAACCAGGTAAACAACATACACAAGGACTACAGCAACGTGGTCAGTCAACAAGCATTTACTAAACACCTATGATGTGCCAGCCACTGTGCTAAGCATGGGAGATGTAAAGAAAGGACAAAACAAATGGAAAAATAAATTAAAAAAGAAACTTAAATTGAGCACGTTAATTATATTGGCCAAACTTAGTCCCCAGAGAAGAGTGTAAAAAATTGACTTCCCTCGCTTCTTCACAGAGGTGGGAGATTATGAGTATGGTACATATACTATTATGTTTGATGGGCTGCATATAATATTATATATGACTGATGTGTTGGTTGGTTTTGTTGAACTCCAGTTTTTTTTTCATTTTTTCTCTTATTTTTCTTAAAAATAATGTTAGCTAAGTAGGAAAGCAAGGAGTGATATATTTGGAAATATAGGTGATATAAAAAAAGATATCAATAAAAAATTTTTAAAAAGAAATTAGATAGACTGGTCTCAGAAGAGAGACATACAGTTGCTTTCAAAAGCCCTGGATTAGCTTTCCACCGCTTTGAAACATCAGAGAAGGGACACAAGGGAAGATTCTAATCTTGCTCTAAAACATGGTCTAGCCCTTAACTAGTGATGGATTTTCTATTAATGCTACTTAACCACAAGGACTCCACTCAATAACCTGCATGACCACTGGGAAACTTCTATGTCTGCATCCTTCTGCTGATAAAATGAACTCTTACGCTTTGTGCATCTGTGCATCTCCAGAGAGACTCTCACTTTCAGGTATAAGGAATACCCAATGTTATTTTAGGACTTCCTCTAAGCACGAGTCCCACCTTCTTTTGACATTCATCACCTCCCTTAAGACTTGGGGTAAAAGGTGCTTCCTCCAGGAAACCCCCTCCACCATCTCCATCTTTCTTGACCCTCTTTCATTCGGCACCTTCTTAGCTACCTAGATGATCAAGTTAGAAGTTCTCAGTTTCACCCTGCATGGTTCATCATTTTTGTGTTCTTGCTTATGTTGGTTGGGTTGCCCACAGTAAATTAATTTTTCCTTTCTATTCAAGACAATGTGGAACTGTATTATTATTGTTATTATTCTTAGTTATAATAGTAATAATGGTAGCATTAATAGTAGTAGTACTAAGAGTAGTAGTGATGGTAGTAGTAATGGTAGTGCTATTAACAGTAATAGTAATAGTAGTGGTGTTGGTTGTGTTGATACTAGCAGCAGTAGCAATAGTAGTAGTAGCAACAGTAATAGTGGTAGTGGTAGTAATAGTAGCAGTAGTGATAGCACTAGTAAAACAATAGTTGTAATTGTAGTAGTAACAGTAGCAATAGTAACAACAGCAATAGTAGCAATAGTAACAGAAGTAGCAATAGTAACTAACGGTAGTAGTGGTGGTGGTAGTGGTGAAACCCAGAGAACCTGGGGTTAAATTCAGTCTCTGATGCTTGTTAGTTGTGTGACCTTGAGCAAATCATTTACCCCACCCTGGACATCCATCTCATCATCTGTAAAATGAGTGGGTGAGGGGAGAGGGTTGGACTAGATGAGTTGTACTTCTGCACATGTTGTTTCCCCCATTAGACTGGGAGCTTCTTGAGGGCAGGGACCATGTTTGCCTCTCTTTGTATCCCCAGTGTTCAGCACCACCCCAGGCACACAGCAGGCACTTAATAGAAATACTTGATGTATTTCATGAGGTCTCTTCTGGCTCTAGTCCTATGATCTGTTTTACCTTGCTGCTTTTTTTTAAGCTGCTTGAGGTCAGGGGCTGTTTCATTTCTGTCTTTCTATCCCTAGCACCCTGCATATAGAAGAAAAGGAGAGGGTGATTTCACTGATTTCACTGCTACAGGGGAAACTCCCTCTACTAATGTAGGCTGGAACCTTTTCTGCAACTCATAGACTTAGGGAATATCCCAAAGCACTGAGAGGTTAAGGGACTGGGCCAGGGTCACACGGCCAGTACATGTTGGAAGGGGTTCTCGAACCTAGTCTCCTAGGTTTGAGGCTGGTTCTGTATATACCACATTCATCAGATACATAGTAGATGTTTTAAAATTGTTTGTTGAATTGAGAAAGAGCAGGCTGACATGCCAAGCCATGATGATGGCAACCCTCACAACTCTAATGGGAATCATGAGATAAGAAACTAGAACTTTAGAAACAAGAATCGTGTTGAACAATGACCACTTATATTGATAATAACTAGCATTTATACAGCACTTTAAGGCTTGCAGAGCACTTTACAGTATCTCGTTTTATCCTGTGATTTCACTCTAGGATGTAGATGCTGTTGTTTCCCTCATTTTACAGATGAGGAAACTGAGGCAGGCAGTTCCTAGTACTAGATACATTTTCACTATACCCTCCCCTCAGCCAACTTCCTGTTTGTGGTGGGGAAATCAGAATGCTCCTCATTCCTCTAATCCTCCCCTGAACACCTTCACTGGGCAACTTCCTGTTTTGAGATTCATACTAGCCAAATCTGTCACTCAATAGAAAATCCTGGTGGCTGCTAGCTACAGACATCCCCTCCCCACCCCCCAGTCCAAGGCATTCTCTTTCCTCAATAAGTGCCTAGCTCAAACTTTTTCTCTTTCCCGTCTCTTACCCTCCCACAAGGGGACTTAAACATACAAACTGATAATCCATCCAACACCTATCTTCCTCATTCCTGAATTTATTCAGTTTCCATGACTTTCTCCTCCACTCTACTTCAGCTGCTCCCAGAGATGCTCACCCCCTTGATCCTGCCATCATGCCCAAATATTCCACCTCCATGTTCCTGAACTCTGAAATTCCTTAATCTGATCATAATCTCTTATCATTCCATCTTTCCCTCTGCCTTACCCTGTTTTTTAACCTCATTGTGACCTCCATTATCTCCATCCCTCAGCTATTTCCCAGGCCATCACCCCTAAATTGACTGGCTATCGTATCTCAGTCCCTTGGAGAATCAGCTCAACTCTACACTATCTTCCTCCATAATTTCTTTTGCCCCTCCGTCCAAGGTTGATTATCATGCCTTAACAAGCTTGGACCCTGGAAGACTCCCACCACTCACCCCCTTCAATCCTACTCATGTACTACTGAACCAAGTGGAAAGAAATCACAAAACATCACTGATTGGACCCACTACAAACTGATGTTATCTCATCTCAACTGGGCCTTCATTGAAGCAAAACAAATTTTTCATTACTCTCCAATCGATTCACTATCCCCCCCTTCACTGAGGCTCTTCCAAACATTCTTATCTCTCCTCAATCCTCCCTGTATACTCTACCCCTCTGCTCTTAGCCCAGGACCTTGCCTCATTTTTCACCAAAAAACCTGATGAAATTGTTAATGGAGAGCTCCATCTTCTCCCCTCCTCCTTATCTCAGATTTCTCAGTTTTTTCCTCTTTTATCCCCTCCTCCTCCCTGGTCTCAGATCAAGGAGTGGCCCTTCTTCTTGCCAGGGTCAACGCTTCTACAACTGATTTCAATACCATTCCCTCCTATCTCCTCCACCAGACTTGAAACGTTACCATCCCTGTTCTCTCTCTTAGCATCAGTCTCTCTCTGTCTGCTATCTGCTTCCCTACTGCTTACAAATACGCCCATGTCTCTCCCCCACCCTCAAAAAACCTTCATTCTCACCTCCTTTTCTCAGCTGAATTTCTTGAGAAAGTCATCTCTAATCTGTGCCTCCACTCCCTCTCCTCTTTCTAAACCTTCTGTACTCTGGCTTCTGACCTCACCATTCGACTGAAACAGCTCTCCCCAAAATCACCACTGCTCTCCTAACTGCCAAACTGAATGGCCTCTTCTCAATCCTGCTGTGCCCTGACCCCTCAGACAGGGTTTGCCATTCGGGGTCACCTCCTCCTCAACGCTCTTTTCTCTGGGTTTTCCTCTCCTGGCTCCTCTTGTCTGGCTCACAGCTCCTTCTCAGTCTCCCTGGCTGGCTCCTCACTCATGCCACACTTGTGCCTGGCCCCCAAGACTGTGTCCTAAGCTCCTTCTCCTTTCACTCGAGATTATTTCTCTTGGTGATCTCATCAGCTCCCAATTCTATGCACGAGATTCCCAGATCTATATACCCAGCCCTAGTCTCTCTCCTGAGCTACAGAATCATGCATCCCAAGCTCCCTCTTGGACATTTCAAACTGGTTGCCCCATAGACATCTCAAACTTACCATGCCTAAATCAAAACTCATTATCTTTGCCCTCCCAAACCCTTCCCTCTTCCTCATCAAGGGAACCACCTGCTTCCAGTCATTTAGCACAAAACCTCAATGTAATCCTAGACTCCTAACTCACATCACTGCGTATATCCAATCTCTCCATTGTCAAATCTTGTCATTTCTAGCTTTGCAACATCCCTCAAAGACACCCCCTTGTGGCCTCTGACACTGCCTCCACCTTGGGGGTGGCCCTCAACATCTCCCTCCTGGACTATTGCAGTAGCTGCTGGGGGTCTGCTGCCTCGGGTCTCTCCCCACTCCAGTCCATCCTCCTCAGCTGTGAAGATCATTTTTCTATAGTGCAGGTGTGACTATGGCACTACCCTGCTCTAGAAGCTCCTGGGTGCCCTCTTACCTCCAGGATCAATCGAAAATCCTGTGTCTGGCTTGTAAAGCCTCCATAAGCTGCCCCCTTCTTACCTTTCCAGTCTTCTTATACCTTCTTCCCCTCCATACACTCCTGGATCCAGCTACACTGGTCCCCTGGCTATTCCTCACACCCCACATTCCTCATCTCCAAGTCTTTGCATTGGCCATCCCTCAGGCCTGGATTGCTTGGTTCACTCCCCTCTCCCTTCTGGCTTCCCAGGCTTCCTTCCCACCTTCCCTCCCCTACTACCAGTGACTTCCCTCCTGAGACTCCCTTCCTCCTGTTCTATAGACATCTCAAATGTACATATTTGTTTGGAAGTCTTTCCCATTAGAATGGGAACTCTTAGACTCTTTTCTTTGTTTTGTTTTGGCTTTTTATGCCCAGCACTGGGCATAGCACCTATCACTTGGTAAGTGCTTAATACATGATTACTGACTGACTGACTGACCATTTTTGTCTCAATAAACTCAAATTAACATCCACACCCAAGGAAGTTTGAAGGGAAAGAGAAGGCATATGTAAAAGCAGAGAAGACCAGTTCTAACCATCTACCATGGTGATGGAGTCTGTGTGGGGGAGGGCATATGATTTCTAGTTGAGAGAGTTCACTGGAGCAGGAGATGAGAAGCCTGGACTCCAGTGAGACGATCTCTGAAAATGTGGGCAGCTTTCCCCCTGCTCCTGAGTCATCCTTCACAACAGGGCCTTAGGATTTATTCAGGGTGCTGTGACTTCACAGAGTTATTTTGGACACGTCTTTTTGGGAGGGCATAGGATGGGGGTGGGGAATGGTGATTTCATCAGTGGAGGACAAGTCCTGAGTCAGAAACTCCCTCTACCCAAGCCACTCATCTCATAGGCCTCAATAGCGGCCTCGGGGCATAGAGAGTTTAGGATTATAGATTTAGAACTGAAAGGACCTCACATACCATCTAGTCCAAAGGCCTCATTTTACAGATGAGCAAAATGATGCTCAGAGACCTTAGGTGACTTGTCCACAGTCACACAGCTAATTAGCATCATAGGTAGGATTTGAACTCAGGTCTTCCTGACTCCAAGGCTGGCCCTTTATACGAAAGCCTCCGATATGAATCCCTATTCAAGTACCAGAATGTGTTGGAAAGCCTTGGGGACATGCTCATTGGGGTGAGCTACTATGGGATAACCTGGGCCTCGAAGTGAGATAAAAGACAGAACAATGAAAAGACAAATAAGCCATCTATGGTCTACCTTGCCAGCATGGTTGTCTTTGTCTGGCTGGATGATTTTAAAGTCTAACATCAGCTCAACAAGCACTAGCATGGCGTCCATAACAACAAGAGAAACGATGAAAACCTATGGGAAGAAGAAGAGGAAAATCTTTTTAAACTCTTCACAGTGAAAATGTCAAGTTATACCTTCTTCCATATATGAGAATTTGGAGGTTGAAAGATTTGTTGTTGTTCAGTTCTTTCTGACTCTGTGACCCCATTTGTGATTTTCGTGGCAAAGATACTGGAGTCATTCTCCATTTCCTTCTCCACTCATGTTACAGAATAAGAAATGGAGGCAATCAGGGTTAAGTGACTTGCCCAGGGTCACACAGCCAGGAAATGTCTGAACCTGGATTTGAACTCAGGTCTTCCTGACTCCAGGCCTGGTGCTCTATCTGTTGTGCCTCCTAGTGGTACACAAAAATGATATGAACAGACTATTCTAAAAAATGGGGAAAACCCACTGATTCTTCCAATAAAGAAAGTTTAAACCCTTCCATAATGAGAAAATGTGAGTTAAAACAACTCAGAGGTACACTTACACCTATCACAGCTGCCAAACCAGTTAAATAAAGGATAAAGCTCAATGTTGGCGGGACTGTGGGAAAACAGGCACACAATTACACTGATGGGAAATGTGAATTGGTACAAACTTTCTTCAAAAGCACAAAAGTAATCCTTTAATGCACAATGAGAATTACCAAACTGATCCTGCTTCATGGCCCTGTGATCCCACTCCTGGAACTATATCCTAAAGGTGTCATTACAAGAGGCAAAAACAGACCTATCTGTTCTGCTATTTACAAGAAAATGGCCTAGAGGTTCAACCCTGGAGGGCACCTGGATTCTAAGCCCATCTTTGACAGTAAATATGGGCGAGTCACTAAACCTCCAGGAGTGTCTTTTTCCTGCTCTGTACAAAGGGCATTATTAAACCTGTAGAACCTATGTCATAGTGTTACTGTGGGGCTGCAAGCAGATAATGTGTGCAAAGCTCTTTGTAAACCCTTCATTTATGTGTGTGTATATAAACGGTTATATATTAAAATATACTGCATATTTTCTCCATTACATAAGAAATACATTAATACAAATGATAATATAGTATATTAATATTATATGCATTAAGAAAATGAAATGTTGCTATGCTGCAGAAGATGGTAAACATGAAGAATACAAAGGAAAATAGAAGACTAAGAGATACCATGGCATTCTGGATAGAGAATCCATCTCAGAATTAAGAAGACCTATGCTCAAATTCTGCCTCATCTATGTATTGGCTGCCATGGAATGCTAGGTAAGTCACTTGACTCTCTCAGTGCCCCAGGTAACTCTCCGAGTACACCTTGCCTTAGTGGAGAGAACTTTATCACCGGGGAGTTGCCTGTACCAGTAAAATCACAGGAACCTCTGTTCCCCCTACCCAAAAAAAATATGGAAAGATAAATGATACAGAATGAAGAAAGCAGAATCAGAACACACTGATTACAGCTTTGTTTTAAAAAGTCAATTGACAGTTAATCAACAAACATGTAAGTGCGTACTGGAGATAAAAAGGTGAAAAAGAATAATAGCAACTCAATGCAAAAGTGAAAAAAATTACACAGAAGAAAAGAGACCAGGAGGGAACAGAGACATCAACAAACCTTTTTGTCATTATTTTGTCAATGTGAATAAGTCTCCTTTTATAGGTGATTTTCAAACAATCTCAATTTTACAGCCGCAATTGGGACGGGCTGATCCCAGACTGGAAATGGATTTTTGGGCAGCTTTATTTCTCTCTAAGCCCCAGGATAGGGAAAACGTGTTAAGAGCTGAACAATGACAGTGACAGAAGAGAAACAAGGCTGCTTCCCACCCCCAGGTACAGTGGAAATGACATCTGCACAATCTGGGGAATTGGGTTCATTTCTATTTCTAGCACCATGCATGCCTAGGGGCCTATGACAGGGTCACAAAAAAAACTGTTCAAGAATCAATCCTGACAGTCGCTTCATGGTTCCTTAGCCTCACAGATCATTCGGTGTCCAACAGGAATGCTGAGAGCTGCAGGGACATGTTCCCTGTTTCACTTCTAGGCACAGGCAGGGATCAAACATAGAAAGGAAAAGGAAGGCTCAGAGAGGGCAAGAGATTGTCCAAGGTCACAGAGCAGGCTGAATGGGTCCAACTTGCCAACCCATATCTAAGATCCTTATTCATCATGGCCTCTTCAGTGTCTCTGCTTTCCTCACCTGTCAAATGAGGGGATTGACCCTGATGATTCCAGGGGCCTCCCAGCTCAGATATTTAGTGTCCTGACATTCATTCAGACTTTAACATTTTAGGTTCTAAAGTCTCTTCCAGCTCTGACCTTCCTTGTTCTGAGGCCCCTCTGATATTCCCTATTTTAAGATCCCTTCCAGCTTGGATAATCTGTTTTAAGGTCATTTCCAGTTCTGACATTCCAATTCTAGAAAGGAAAATGGGAAGTGGGCAGAACAGACAGCACATTTATTTTCTTTTTTAATAATAATCATCATGATTATGACAATAACAAAAGTACTTGGCTAAGATGATCTTTGCTCTGAACTTTTTAAAAATTCACAGCTATCATCTGATTTTCCAATTTCAATAGCCTTGCAAGATAAGGGAGGGCAGGCTTTATTACCTCCACTTTAAATACCATGAGGCTCAGACCAGACACCTGACTGCCCAGTACCCAAGACCTCCTGTCTCCTAGACCTTTTCCCCCTCAATCCCACTAGTCCGGCTTTCAGTCTTACCTACCTGAAACCTGTTGGAAATGAAGTGCCTTCTCAACACAGTCCTAAAGGTTGGGGGGACCTCTGGAGGGGTGACAACTTCCCCTGGAACGATGGTGGTGCTGCTCTGTGTTCCAGGGGCGACAGATGCTGTCGCCCGTGCTGTTGGCATCTGCAGCTACTTATCCTCCTCATTCTCATTGTCCCATTACGGTATTATGGTAGATTTAGACCTGGAAAGCACGATAGGAGTCAGCAAGTTTAATTTCATAATTTTTTCACATTTCATAAATAAGGAAATTGACACTCAGTGAGTCCAAAAGGTTAAGTCACACAGGGAATAAATCCTAAGTGACAAAGCCCTAACTCGATTAACTCAGGTGGTCTGGCCACAAACGCAGCTCCCCCTCCTTGCCTCCTGTATATCCCCATCCATTCTATTCAGTTTGACTACATTTGTACATTGACCACACTGACTAATACCTACTCATTCCCTTATCAAACTTTATTTAGACTTTTAGTTATTCATCACAGCTTTGAGTTTCGTAAAAATTACCTTCAAAGTCATTATTTTAAGGTAAGATGTCACAGAGTATGTTTGCTGGCCCTTTTGGAAGAGAAAATTGGTATTTTAGTGTTCTGATGCTGTGTGCTGAGGGATTTCTGTTGCATTTCTGTTATGAGTCATATAGTAGGGAGCAGACTCTAGTAAAAAAAAAAAAAAGAGAGTGAGAGGGAGCAAGGCAGGCACCAGACCAAAAAGGATTTCAAATTCATACTTCATAATTCTTTTAACTTGGCAGAATTATAGAAGTGAAATTTACCCTGTGGTGTGGGTGCATATGTTATGGGCAAGACAAGAGATTATGCATCGGGTCAAGACAATAAAAGGTAAGTAATTCTCCCACTGTGATGTCCTTAAAAAACTCAACTGGAGTATAAGAGAAGCCAGGGTTGGTTATAGATAGGCAGTAGGACAAAAGGGGCCAAAGTCCTGTTGGTACTGGTTAAGTTCTCTTGAGCCAAGAGTAAGTGTGGCCCATGCCAATTTTCCAGGAGCAAGGAGTGGTTCTTCTGTCTCACCACACCCACCTCTAAACCACAGTGCCTGGCTTTTCCCAAAAGAAATTCAGGGAGGACTCCCAGCAGAAGAATGTCAAACACCAAGTTCTCTGGCACACTGTAGTCACTGCATGACTAACAGGCCAAATCACTTCCAACAGAAGAAACAAAACAGTTATCTCTTTCTCACAAAAGAAAAGAAACACTTTCACTACCAACAGCTTTTTCTCCAGAGTCCAGAAGTCCTGGATGCCAACAGTGAATTAAGTCTTGGTTATCATACAAGCCACAAACACTTTCACCCTGAAGAACACCCCTTTTCTGGAAATGGATAGCTGAGGGGTCTGTGTGCAAAAAGAGCTTGTGCCCTGCAGCTCCAGTCCAACCCCAAAGGAGGAGGAACTGACACTCACTGCTCACCTCCACCTCTTCCACAGCCTCCAGCATCAGTTCAGTCTATCAAGGGCCTGGGATACAGACAGTATAACATGACCCCTCCCTAGGAAACTGGCTTTGGGGTGAGGTTTAGCATTAAAAATGATGGCTACTTCAGTTCAGTTCTTCAGGCAAACTGTCTGCCCCTTGAATTTCTGCCCTTTCCTCCTACCTTCCTGCCTCCTTGTCTTTGTCCACACTGTTCCCTATGCCCCCCCCAGCCTCACTTTTCCTCTTACTCGGGTGAATTCCTCTCCACAAATCAAAGCCCAATTCAAATGTCACCACTGCCCTAAAATCTCCTTCAGTCCCCCTGGTCTGTCATAATTGTTGATCTCACCTGGCACTGATTTACAACAGTGCCAGATTAGGCACTGTTAGGCAGCATGGTAGATGCATTAGAGCTTTGATCTGAGAATACAGTTTAGCACCCAACCCCAGGAAGTCTTTCCCTCCCAGATTTCCTTCCATCTATTCTGTACAGATCTTGTATGGACCTGTTTACCTGCATCCATACCACAATGCCTGGAACTTAAGAAGTGCTTACCAAACGCAGCTAGGTGATAAAGTGAATACAGCACTGGGCCTCGACTCTGGAATTTAAATCTAGCCTCGTTTATTGGCTGTGCTACCCTGGGTAAGTCACTCACCCTGCATATGACTCAGCTTCCTCAACAGTAAAAAAGGGATGATAATAATAGCACCTACCTCCCAGGACTGTTGTGAGGATCAAGGGAGATGTTTGTAAAGCCCCTGGGATGTGGCTGGTATCCTGCTAGGCACTTAACAGATGCCTGTTTCCTTCTTTCCCTGACTGAAGGAGACCCTCCCCCCTTCACCCTTTTTCTCTTTGCAGTGGGAAGAACTATGACCTCAAGAGCCAGAAGAGTCCTGGGTTTGAATCCCACATATCTAGAACTTCCTATTGTGAAGACTGGCAAATCACTTTAGCTCTCTGAGTTTCCTCCTCTATACAGTGGGGATGATTACACTGGCAGTCCCTAATTCATGGGGTCAATGGGAAGCTGAAATGAGATAATGTATGCAAAATGCTTTGCAAACTTTAAAAGGGAACATAAATGCCAGCTATTAGCATTAGCTGTATAACCACAGGCAAGTCAGTTGACTGCTCCCAGCCTCAGTTATATTAACAGATAACATCTATAGTATCTACCTTTCTGAGCTGTAGTGAGGGCTGAATTAGATGATGGACAGAACCACTGGGTATTAAAAATTACAATTTTAAACAGAAGGATCAGCCCCACGAAACTTTTGTGAAAACTCAGATTAGAAGTTTACTGGACAGCTTGTGCAAAGTACATTCATTCAGAAGACAGATGTTAACGTCTCCCCATTCCACATCCTTTTGCTCTTATGACTACAATTTGAAAAGGAAGAGGTCAGAAGCTGGACGGGGAAGGCAGAGAGTATGTACAAGTGCAATGGAAAAAGGGAACTCCTGACAGCCCTGGTGGAAATGTTACAGAATAGGAAACAAACTGACTTGGGATCAGATTTCTGACTCCTCACATGCCACCAAATCCTCTGAAGGACTTTCTCCACTAAAGGTCAGCAGTGACACCCTAACTAAATTGAACGATGGTTTTCACACTCTGTACCCTACCTTCCACAAATCAGCTGACAGCAGCTGCTCGAGCTCCAGGTTAAAGGAGAATTTTTTAAAAAGCGATAAAGGAAAAGTTACCAAAATCTCTCTCCCAACTGTCAACTTTTCTGCTGCATCTAAAACTCAAGGTGCTCCCACACCCAACTTCTCCCTCGGAGCCGAAGCCAGGGTGACATGTGAACCCAAGTTCAAAGTCACGGCGTCCTTCACTCTACGAGGAAGTGCTCTAGGTCTCTAAGGCGTGGGAAGGAGGAAAAGACAAGCAGACCCAAGGCAGACGACCCCCGGAGCCCCCCCCCCACCGGCGCGCACTGCCCCGCACCTGCCCCAGCCGCCCCCCCCCCCCCCGCCCCCCCCGCTCCCCCCGCCTCCCAAGTTACAGGTGCAAGCGGAGCAGGCCCGAGGCACCTGTGGCCCCGACGGCCCGGCCCAGGCCTCTCGCCAGCCCGAGTCGGGGGCCCGTTCGGGGGAGGGGGCCGCGTCCCCACATGACCTTGCTGGGGATGGGGCGGCCCTTCGGGGCCCGGCACGCACGTGCCCGGGGCAGGCCTGGCGCGGAGGATGGAGATGGCGCGGGCCGATTGCGGCGGGGGCCCCGACTCACCCAGCACGTCGGCGGAGCGGTGGCGGGCCACGAAGCAGGCGTCGTCCCCCTAGCAGACGCCCTTCTTGAGCAGGCCCTTGCGGAAGTCCTTGCCGAAGCCGCAGCCGGCCGTCACCAGCCCGTAGTCAACGCCGCCGCCGCCGGCTCCCCCGCCGCCGCCCGCCCGGGGGTCGGTCTGCGAGAGGCCGCCCAGCACGGCCCGGGCCACCAGGCGGCCGTATGAAAAGACCCACGGCCACAGCCATCTTACACTCTACTAAGGGAGTTTCGGGACCAGCCGGCAACTTGGCCTATCTCTCGGCCCCGCCCCCTCCCAGCCAACCGCCAACGGCCGCGGCCCAGGCCTCGCCCCTACTCCCGCTATCGGTTAGGGATAGGCACCGCCCCCGCCCGCCCTTTCTCCCCGGATCCTCTCAAGTTAGCTCCGCCTCTTTTCTCCTTTCCTTTCACCCTCAGCTCCTTTCCCTCCCTCCCTCCAGGTTTGTACTATGGACTCTAAGCCCTGCTTCCTCAGTCAGTCAGTTCCCTCCCTTCCTATTTCTTATAAATAATAACCCTCGCCTCCTCTTCTTTCCCTTCTTCCCTCCCTCCTCCAGTAAGCCTTGCCCCTTCTATGCTTTCCCCATCTTCTTTCACCCTCTCCACCCCTGGAGTAGGAAGTCCCGCCCCCAGTATTTTCTCTCCCTTCTCTTGGTGGAGGACTAAGCCCCGCCCCCGATGTACCTCCTTGGCCAAATGCATAGGCCCCGCCCTGTCCCAGCTTCCACCAATTGCAATACGCTCCTCCCAGCGCCTGCCAAGGCCGCGCAACGCTTCTGCCCCGCCCCCACTCCTCTTTTATGGTTTTTACCTCTCCTGTCTTTCCCTTGTTCTGGCCGTTCGTCTGTCAGCCCTCACTCGAAGAGAGACGCTGCCCCCTCCCCGCTTCACCCTCTGTCTGTCCTCCCTCCCTGTCCCCCTTTACGCCTCCCCCCGCCCCCTTTCTCCTCTCCCCTCCCCTTTTCCTCTACGTCACGCCCCGCGCTGGCGTGGGCCCCGCCCCCATCCATGCCCGGTCAGGTTATCCGGGGTCCCTCTAGTTTAGCCGGCTCCAAGGACCAGAGCCTATCGCCGTCGCGCTGCCCTCTGGGATGTGTAGTCCTGGGGTCCTCCCTCCCATCCCGCTCCTGGCTGGGGGCAGCGCTCCCGTGCTTTATTCGCATTGGCTCGGCCCTGGCCAAGGGCTTTAGAGCCGCCGCGTCAGGGAGCTCCGGGCTTTTTAGGACGCTGTCCCCATTTCACAGATGGGGACTCGGGGCTCGAAGACATGCAGTGACGTGGCCACCCTACCGTCCGAGGCAGGAGCGGACCTTTGCGCTCCCTGACGACAGTCTAGCGGTGCCTCTCAGCCACTTTGCTCATCGGTAAAATGGGCATGAATGGCAAAATGATACCCGCAGCAGCGACTTGACAAGGTTGTTGTGAGGCTCCGATGGGATGGTGCCCTGTAACTCCGAAAATTAGCGATATGAATGTCAGTTATTATCATCCACTCTCAACTGGCCAAAAAAGCAAACCTTAAGTGCCGACTGGTTAATAGTAAACATTTATTAGGCACCTACTTGTGCTAAATCCTTTACCAATATTATCTCATTTGATCCTCACAACAACTCTGGGAGGTAGGGGCTATTATTATCCAGATTTTACAGATGAGGATACTGAGGCAGATGGCAGTGACTTGCCCAAGGTCACAGAGCTGGCAGGTGTCTGAGGCTAGATTTGAACTAGAGTCTCCTTGACTCCAGGCCCAGTGCTCTATCTACTGAACCACCCACCTGTTTCTATGTATGAAAAGCCACCTCATGGCCCAGCTCAGGTACCCTGTACTTGATTAAGCTTTTGGTCCTGCAGGCTCAGACAGGACTGAATGACCAAATCTTGGTATGCACACACATATGTACTGTGTGTGTCAGTATAATGTTGACAACAATTGTTCACCCATTTTAAAATAGATTTTGCTCTTTGGTCTATTGTGTATCCTGAAAGGATAAGAAAATAAAAGCAACTCAGTCCAGGGGCAGAAGAAGAAGCTCTCACCTCCCATCCTTGGTTGTCTGAGTAGATACTTGTGTGTGTGTACACACATATTTCTATATAATGAGTTGAGGTATGTATATGTATATATACACACATATATGCATATATATATACATATATGTGTGTGTTTTGTGTGTGTACATATACATATATATTGTTTACCAGAAGTCGTGACTCCACAAGACATGAGTAGTAACTTATTTTATTCCAAGAGAAAACAAAAAAAAAAAGAGAAGATTGTATGTGTCAGAACTCTTTATACTAAGTACAAAGAGCCTTTAATACAGGCAGATCCTTGAGTATTTATGGGTTACAACAAAAAAAGGAAGTCCTAAGAAGGGATAAAAAGAGTCACCCCCTCCCCAAGGGCAGAGAAAAGGGTGGAGAAAGTGAAGGGAAGCAGAGTGCGCAGGATGTGAGGGGCAGCATTAAGTTCCCTTGGGAACTGCTGGACTGGGAAGATAGCATAGTCTGCTTATCTACAAGGGTCCAAGCTGCATGGTCTGGTGCAGACTGATTGGTGCCTGTCTTTTAGCTAGTTCGACTCTTAGGGGTACCCTGAGAGTTTAGCTAGGGTTCAAAGTCACAAATTATATTAGCTGTGGAGGGGGCTTCCTCCTGAAAAATGGGGCAACTGAAGAAAACAAGTTCAGGGGGCCCCTCCACAATATGAATATACACACATATAGACATATAGAAAACCCCTGAGATATGTATATACTGGCATGTATATATTTCCATATACACATATATCCATGTACATATGTGGATATACACATGTGTACCTATGCAAATTATTTCATTAAACATTCCCCAATTACATTTTAAAAAATTTAACAATGGTTTTTAAAATTTTTTGAGATCCAAATTCTCTCCCTCCCTCCAGTCCCTCTGCCACCCATTGAGAAGGAAATCAATATATCAATTATATATGTGAAATCATGCAAAACATATTTACATACTAGCCATGTTACCAAAAAAAGGCAAGAAAAAGATTGTGAAAAGCAAAATGCTTCAGTCTTCATTCTGGGTTCATCAGTTCTCTCTCTGGAGGTGGATAGCATTTTTCATTATGGGTCCTTTGGAATTGTCTAGGATCATTGTCTTGATCAGAGTGACTAAGACTTAAGTCTTTCACAGTTGATCTTGACTTAATTAGATCTTCAAAAGAAATCCTTACAGGCTAAGTTTTGGAACACACATGGATTTACATGGGAGAGTGTCCCATTCTCTTTGACTGGATGCACTGCCTCAGCAAGGCCACAGGGTGGAGCTGTAGCTGTCATTTTGATCATTTAGCCTAAGTATAGAAATGGAAACTGGCAGTAGAGAATGCTTTGGGATCCTTCTAGATGGGGGAAAAAACAGGTCTTTGCTCTCTTAGTATCTGCTATAAATATTGAGCTGTGGAAGAGCTACTGTTACTCTGAAGCTGAACTTTTCAGGAAACCACAAGTGATGTCCTCTTGTTCCTTCCCAAAGTAGAGCCTGTGAAACTCAGATGATGATAGAGTCAAGTGAGAGGACTGTAAGAAGTCCGAAGGCAGAGAAGGCTCCATTTTCTATTGAAAACTGAAAAATACTGAAAATATTGAAAAGTAAAGAGCTTTGATGTTATGGAAACATGGCAGAAACATGGCGGCCCAGTGGATGGAGTGCTGGACCTAGGATCAGGAAGTTGTAGTTGTTCAGTTGTGTCCAACTCTCCATGACCCCATTTGGTGTTTTCTTGACCAAGATACTGGAGTAGTTTTCCATTTCCTTCTCCAGTTCATTTAACAGATGAGGAAACTGAGGCAAACAGGGTGAAGTGACTTGCCCAGAGTCACACAGCTAGTAAGGGTCTGAAGCCAGATTTGAACTCAGGGAGATGAATCTCCATGACTCCAGGCCCAGTGCTCTATCTCCTGTGCCACCCAGCTGCTCCTCCCCATACTTGTTTAGTCATTATTGTTTCCTAATCTCTAAAATGGGGAAAAAACACTGGTACTGTCACCCTCATAGGGCTGTTGTTATAAAGGCCTAAATAGCTGTGATGGACTTTGATGACCATTCTCTTCTCTGGGCTTCATCTTCTCAGGTCCTTTCATGAATCTGTTGTACTGGAAAGTATATTTCATCGCTGGATCCACCATGACATTTTTCTTGAAAGTTCCCAGGCCTTGTATGGTTCAGATGGCACTCTTAAGTCTTAAAATTGAAAGAGACTCAAGAAATCATGCAGTTCAACCCCCTTATTTACAGACGAGGAAACCCAAAGGCCCAGAAGAAAAGACTTGACCAAAGTCACACAATATGGAGCAAAAATGCAATACAAACCTCCACAACTATGCTGTTTGATAGAATATTCAACATTGTCTCCCATTGTCCCCAGTGAAAAGTGTGTGTCATGGATGGAGCTCTGGAACCCACCTTGGTACTTGTGTTAACTCGGCCCCGATGTCTTTTGTTGTGGTTTCTGTGTATATAGCCATCTCGGTTCTGCTTTCCTTGTTCCTCATTAGTTTGTACACATCTTCCTATACTTCCCTGAATCTCTCGCGATCACTGTTTTTTATTGTGCAGTCAGGATATATATAGTACCTTTCTGTCTTTGATCCTATATACCTGGTAGAGGGATCTCCGGGTCAAAACGTAGGGGAACAGTTTAGTGACTTTTTTCATGTAATCAAAATTGTTTTCCAGAATGGTTTAACCAATTCGAAGCTTTATGAACAGTGTATTATCTTGTTCATCTTCCTATAAATGTGCCTATTTGTGAAGATTCCTACTATCTATGGCCACTAACGAGAAAAATTCATCCTAGCACTTGGGCATTACTAATAGGTCAGTGGGCAGGAAGGGAACTATTTAAAGTCTAACTATGTTATTCCTTCTGTTTCCTGTTACCTGGAATCTCTTCAGTTAATAACACTCTTATTACTGCAGGAGGGCAACATGATATAGTGGGTAGGGGAATGGCCTTGGAAGGAAGAAGCCTTGTGCATATATTGGTTATGTGACCCTGGACAA